GCCTTTTCCTGACAAGTAATATAGATACGACGGAAATAAACAATTTTTGGAAATACAGAGTACCTAAGGGACTTGATAATTTCTTCTGTTACGGTACTATTGTTGGCTTCGATGGAGATAATTTTCTTTTCGCGCCGCAACTTCTTGAACTCTATCGACGGTCGACTCTCTTCTCGGTCGCGTATTTTCTCTTCTTTCATCTACGGCGTACTCGCTCGAAGAGGGAAACCAAAAAAAGTCCTTTCTTGTCCGTTACATACGCTTTTATATCTCCCTCCAACTACGTCACTCTCCCATGTGATCCTGCCACGGACCAATGTGAAGTCGGAAAACCCCGCCATCGGCTAACAGGTGGTATCAAGGAAGGAAACAGAAAGGAACGGTACAAACATACGCACATAAACGTAAAACAAAACAAAAAGATATATAATACAATAATAGCCACGAAGTGCTACATAAGGGTCGTAACTAGTTTACAATAACATGTAAATAGTTTTCAGAACAGTCTACTCACTGGAACTCTGGCAGTTAAACAATCAGGAATTGGACCAACAGCTATCGCACATGGGGAAAATCTTCGCTTCCGTCAATACCTCGGTTACTCTCTCTTCCTTAATTGTTCCGTCCACACTATTATTCCCGTGTACACCATGCTTGAAATTTTGTTCTATCTCCCTTCCCTCGATGTTCGAACGAATCTTCCTCTTCACTCCGGTTGGTTCCAACCTTCCTCGATGGTGCTGATCCGAACCCTCACGAATGAAACTCCTCCAAAGGAAAGGAACAAAAAAAAAGCCCCGGCTCACACGTGGACCTGCTATTTATACCCTTCGCTTGCTACTCTCATGTGACCCTTTGGGTAGCCAATCCAGAGGTCCAGTGTCACACAAAGGAGGGAGGTACAAAGTAAGAAGACACGTGTTCGAACGGATGACAAACAGAAAGAAATCCCGACACAGTGTGACATACTAAAACTTACACTAAGTACAAAGAATATTAACTATACAAATAATATTCACATACATTACTAACAACAACCAATAAGTGGCGGAGCACTACACAGTCATCTTCTGAATTGAAATATATGTTTGAGGCCAATAACAAAGTTCAATTTTATACAAAATGCATCTGTAATGATAAATTCCCTAACCTAAAAATGCGATGAGCATTACAGCTGCAATGGGAATTACCTATCTTTGTGAATCTTTTTTCTCAAAATTGAAGATTGTTAAATGTGAAAGCCATAATAGATTGATCAATAAAAATTTAAAACCCAACTATGTTGTACATCAAAAATACCTGCTGATATTAAAAAATTAAGTGAAAAATTGAAAAGCAAGTTTCACATTAAAATAGATACAAAATACTGTATAATTGTATATGTTTTGTTGTAAATAAATATATGCAGCCCACAGTGTATTTTTATTTTTTGTTTTGCCCCAGTAAACAATTTCGGTTGGATAACATTGCTTTAAACCAACCAAATAAAGTTTGGCTGCATGAAAGCATCAAAAAACTAATTTAGAAGATATAGAGAGTCTATGTGCAGTAAATTAGAACTTATTATACAAAGTTTCACAACGCCTTTCTTTCTTTTTTCTAGCACTTTCTTTAATTTAACTAACATTTTCAGCTATTTTAAATGTCTTTCTTCAAGTTAAACAAAATAGAACACCAGTTATAAAATAAATCAGAACATAAATTTAAAACATCGAGATCTTGTTACGTCATGGTTTTGAATAGAATAAATACAGTAAATGAATAAATAAATACTGTAAGGTCTCTTTTTATGCGGATTATTTTTATGCGCTTTTGAAGTTGTGCGGTTTGTATTTCATCCAAAAATTTCTTGGACAAACATACATATAGGCTTGTTTAGGAAGCCGGCGTATAGACAGTCTCCAAAAATTGTGGAATGCTCAAAGCTCACTCCATTTGTTCCACTGACATATAACGTTTATGGATGTAAAGGACAGCTAGATCTACCTTAATTGCTTTAGTTCCTAGCAATTTTTGATATAAATGTAATTAAACATAAAAAATACTTAAAACTGAAAAAAACAAATGAAATGTGTTAATTTTGAAGAAAAAGCTTCAAAGTTTAACTTCCTTTGTCTCACCCTTCTGTGAAATTTAACACTGAGTCATTATTTACACATCTGGATGACCTTGAACACAGGTGGAGTTGGATTTCCCAGGGCATTTTCATAGACGTCGCGGGAGGACAAGGGTTTAAAGTAGGGTGAACACTAGCTGGCTGTATACTTTTAAATATTTTTAAAAAATTTGGAGACTTAAAAAACATTCCAAAAATTCAAAAAAAAAATTTTCAAAAATGGCCTTAAGCACCGCATTTTATGTAATGCTATGTAACTTGCCCGAGATATCTCGGGCTTGGGCTTAAGGGAATTTATTAACGGAAGTACACACATCCTTTTGTTTTCCAGTTATCTATCACAAATCTCACCACCCTGGGAATTGTCGACCCCTCAATAATTCCCCTTCCCTCCGGTCACGTGAGAAAGTACAAATATGATGATTGGTCACAAATCATGAGATATAGTCAAAGATCTACATGATTCGGAGAGTACGCCATAGGACCTCATCGAAGCCAGACGTATTCCATATTTGCTCCCTAAGGCCAACGCCCTTAGTAGGAGTATGTCAGAAGATCTCATAGAGGAGAGAAGTCTCCCATATTTTCTCCATAAGGCCAACGCCCTTAGTTGTATCCAATTGAGTATAAAAATGAGTTAATTTAGGAAGAAAAGAAGAAACTTTTAATATTGTGCCAAATCAAGACCTCACCATGAAATGAAGTATGATCATAGAATACAGATGAACATAAAGACAAAGTAAACTTTGAGGTAGTGTGATTATAAATGAATTTGTGAGCTCTCTCTCTCTCAACGCATATATTTTAATTGCATCTATATTCTCTCTAAATTGCTCGTTTGAATTGTTTAATTATATCCATTTTATATGCTTTTGTTTATTTTAGTTTATTAAATTCTTTTATTTTTATGTTAAAGAAATGTCTCATCTTTGTCTGAATCAAATCCATATTATCTCCATACGCGTGTTAATCCGCATAACAGTAAATTGATTAACTGGTGTCAGGATCCTGACGAGGAAGAAGGTGAATTCGCCATCACCAAATTCCGCTTTAATTTATTCTAACTATAAGTCCCTCCGCACTTGATTTTCTTAAATTGGAAAAAGCCATTCTTGTAGATGACCTGAGAACTAGTTTCAACAACTAGCCGCTAAGTAAGTGATACACGAGTAATAAACTACTCCATACCCCCGGCTAGAATCTCACACAAAGCAGGAATCGAAAAGCTTTAAATTCTATTGAGAATGGGTATTCCATATCACAAATACTAGGTTTTGAGGGAGGCTCTTTTNTACCATCGACAAGTCGCTATTACATCATTCTGAGTTTCGCATTGAAAGGTATAAACTGTAATTGTTTTGAAATTAAATTTTATTTTAGCGGTGTTTTGTTCATTTTTATAATAAGTAGCGAGTTTAAATTTTGCTGATTTCAAGTTGCAGTATTAAGCAGCCTATTTCTTTTAATTTCTGCAAACTTTTTTATGCGGTTTTAAGTTAATTTTAACTCATTGTTTTGGTTTTATGCGATTTTAGAAAATTATAAAATGTATCCCTACTTTTTTCAAGGCAAGCAAAGTCTTTTTTTATGCAAATTTTTTATATGTGCTTTTCTGTAGAACGTATCCACTGCATAAAAAGAGACCTTACAGTACAGAAATAAAATTATATGTTATATGTTTTAACATTTCATTTTATTTCTGTTTATTTCTGTGCTTCTTTATTTATTTATTCTATTCAAAACCATGAAGTCACAAGATTGCAATGTTTTAAATTTACGTTCTGATTTACTTTATAACTGATGTTCTATTTTGTTTAACTTGAAGAAAGCCATTTAAAATGGCCGAAAACGTTAGTTAAATTAAAGAAAGTGCTAGAAAAAAGAAAGAAAAATGTTGTGAAACTTTGATATAGAGAGTTTAAGGTAACATCAAAATTTAGAAAATTTGACAAATAAATTGATAAATACTAAAAACTAAAAGAACTTTATTAATGGAAGTATGTGTTAAAGGATATGATTAAAGAAATAAAATCTGACATAGAAGCAATAAAATAAATAACATTTATGACAAAAATATTAATTATGAATGCATTAACTATGGCTTTATTGTAATGAAAATAACAGCTTTACTTTATTCATTTAACTAGTTTAAATAACGATTATAGAACTGAAGAAATCATTTTCAGAATGCTAGGTAAAATCTAATTTAAAGAAAAAAAAGTGTGTGTTTTAGCAAAAATTTTCATCTTTCAATCATAATATTTTCAGAATAAACATATAATTTAAAGTTCATACATAAGTAAATTTCTTGTTATTTATAAACTTAAAAGCATTACTTTATTCATTTAACTAGTTTAAATAACGATTATAGAACTGAAGAAATCATTTTCAGAATGCTAGGTAAAATCTAATTTAAAGAAAAAAAAGTGTGTGTTTTAGCAAAAATTTTCATCTTTCAATCATAATATTTTCAGAATAAACATATAATTTAAAGTTCATACATAAGTAAATTTCTTGTTATTTATAAACTTAAAAGCATCATAAAATGAACAATTACAACAAATAATAGACAATTAAATAATAAACTTTTTTCATATAACATAAATAATTTTTACAATGTTAATAACTTATTGTCACTATCTTTATAGCTTAATACTACCAAACTATACTTAATTAATAATACATGTCCTAATATTGGAAAATTTTAGATATATTAATATATCATCAATATATCAATGTCAATAGACAAATAAATAACAGTGCATTTTCACAATAATAACCAAAGGTATCTACAAATATAAATTGAATCATTAAAATTAAATTTTAAATTAGGTACTATTAATAGTTTATAATATTTCATATAGAAATTTAAAAAATTAAATACCTTGCAATATTCAGTACAACTATTCCTTGAAGAGAAGGTAATGGAATTCTTCTCCCATCACATTCAAGTTGAACTCTTTGTTCCAAATTTTTGAAAGTTTTTTGTAATAATTCTTTTCCACCCAATACACCATACCACATTAAGTTTTTAGTTCTAGATCTAAATTATAGTTATTATCTTTACTGAAATTCTGTTAATATATTGTTGAAAATTTTTATTAAATATAATAGAATATATTATATTTGATATACTAAAAGTAATTAAGCAAAATTTACCTGCATTTTTCTGGGTGTTCTTCTCTTTTGTTATGAAATTCAAGAGTAATTTTAGCATCCAATCCAATACCAAAATAATTGTTCATAACACATTTTTCTTCAAATCCTTCTCTGTAAATATTAAAATATTTATTAACATAAAATAATCCTTATAATTTAAAAATAATAGGTTTAAACCTAGACAATAATCTCATCACACAGAATTGTTCTAAAATACGTGGATGAGTCATTGTGAACACTGATAACAAACTATAGAGAAATATTTGAAAATTCAGACATTGTTATATGCTTTTTATTAACTTACTCTGTCTGACTAAAATCTTGTAACTCAATTTTCATCCACTTCCCAATTTATAATCTAGTTTAAACTTTGTATACATGTGTACAGTACTTCCAATGACAATACCTTTTTTAGTGTTTGTAAACAATTTTAACAATTTAACAGATTTTTACAAATTTTAATTTTTTGCTGATAACAGATGGTGCTACATGTGGGACAAACCTTTGTCCCTTTTTGGTCTTACTGTCTAGATAAAATTTTGTAACTCAATTTTTCACTCACTTCCCACTAAGAAGAATTTAAATAGTTCAGTGTTCCATATATAGAGTGGTACCTCAGGATACAAACGCTCCAGCATACGAAATTTTCAGGATACGATATGAAATTCAAACATATTTTTGCTCCCCGATACGAACAAAAACTCACCATATAATGTTACATTAGTTCGCAGCACCATTTTTTATTCATTTCTGTTCATTGGTCTCAGTCTGCGTGTTTGCTTCGTCATGAAAGGATCTCGCTCAATAAAGGAAATCTTGAGGTATTATTAGAAAGTGACTGATTTTATTGAAAATAAACATCCCAAAAAGGTTCACACTAGCTGTATTGCTGCTCAGAGTAATGATATTTGTTTAAGTCATTTTAGAAACATTTTAAAAAGTAGACAAAGCCAAACCTCTTTGGATAGATATTTTACCAAGCAGTAACAAGCAGTTTCACTCTATCCAGTGAAAGTGCTGGTGGAAGTCAAGAAAGAAAGCAAAAAGCAGTGAATAAAAATTTAAAAAAAAAAATATATATATATATATATAAAACAACACTATTTTTNAAAAATATATATATAAAACAGAAAAGATAAAAAAATTAGTGTTAAGTTATTTTTAAGTTATTGTTACATTATGTTATATAAGTTAAGTTTTAGTATCATTTTCCTTCTCTCTCCCCTCTGCCCTCCACCTCTACTTATCCTCAAAGGTAAAGTGCAAATAAAACTACATTTTTTTTTTCAATTATTATTCTATTATGGTTATTTATACATTTACAACTACAAAATGCATTTTTCAGCATTTTCCTTACTATAGTTTTTTTTTTTTTTTTAATGTAGACTACTACTTAGCTTTAATTTGAGTGTGTTTTTCGTGTTGGAACAAATTATTTGGTTTTACATGTAATCGTATGGGGAAAAATGATTCACCTTACGACATTTTCATGATACGATATCAGTTTCGGAACAGATTAATTTCGCATCCTGAGGTACCACTGTAAAACTAAAAAATATTTTTAAAAAATTTTTTGAAGAAATGCTTTTTATTCACATAAATGCACTAAAAGCTAAAAAATAATTTTTTCAGCTTTAACAGTATTCTTGGTATTATATGATCAAATATAAAAGCTTAGAACACTTGTGTTTAGAAATATCTTTCATTACACTTTCAAACAAGTGTCCTAAGCTTTTATTTTTGATCATATAATACCAAGAATACTGTTAAAGCCGAAAAAAAAATTATCTTTTAGCTTTTAGTGCATTTATGTGAATAAAAAGAATTTCTTTATTTATTATATTTTAAAATTTTGTAAATATTTTTTTAATTTTTCCATCATGCAATTTTCCATACAATGTCAATTTTGAAAAAAATATAAATTATAATATGAAAATTATATATGATATTTTCAGTTTCAAAATGTGAGCAACAATATTTCTAATTTTTGTTTGTTTGCAACCACTCAAATAATTTTTAGTTTTTACTTTATTCATCAAATATGTTTTAAAATTTATAATATCTTAATATTAATTTATTATAATATTTAGTAGGATAAGAAATTGGATTATTAGAATTTCTAATCTTGATGATTATTGTCTGAGTAAGGTTTGCCTGAAATTTATTCTTGGCAAAAAGTCTATAAATTGGGCATATTATGTTGTTGATACCTGTAATAATTATGGTATTAATCTTATTAATGATGATTTGGATTTAATGGACTTGTCTCTTCATCTTGTTAACATTTTTGATAATTTTTTATAAAATATAAATGGAAAAATAAATAATAGCATATATAATTGTTGGTATAAGGAATTAAATGTCACTTTTTTTGATAATTCTTTATATAATTAGGATGTTTCCCTTAATATGTTCTCTTTATTTATACAGGCTAGGTGTAATTCATTGAACTTTTTAATAATTATTTGAGAAAATCATGTTTGAGGCCTCGGAAATAGCCCTCCTGGAAAAAAGGGAAGATATGTAAAAATTTGTTAAGTTAAATCTTGAGATAAAAAAATTATATAAGTGTCAAATTGGCGACACCAGACTTTGATGTCAACACTCAAAGAGTAGAGGAAAAAACAAAATTTTAGAAATAGAAAAAGAAAATTTAAAATTTAAAAGTTAAGACACAGTTTAGAAAGCAAAACAAAACTAGAAAAATATCAGAATGAGCATGGATGTCATAGTCATCGATAAAATGCAGAGTCCTAAAGGAAGGTGTCGAATAGACCATCGTTAGCTGACCTTTCTTACGCCCTAAATGAAGCTCCATTTACACCTGGAGACAGGTGGGAGACCAATTGGGAAGCGAGAAGAAAAATGTTTAACCAATTAGCAATGCTTCAATCCCGAGAAAATTATAAAACCCTGACTTCAAGGACAAATAGAGGCTTCCACTAGACTATCTGTTGTGTTCGTTTACCTCCGTTTTTTTGTACTTCCATTCATCTTTTGTGTGCTGTCTCTTCAGATTTCGAACTTTCAATTCGATGCTGCCACGGGGCCCCTCCAGCATAGGATCAGACCGAAACTGAAAACAATTCTCGAAGACAACCTAAAGTTCTAACTTAAGGACCATTGCTAAATTAATGTAAGATTTTCGACAAGAATAAATGGTTTCTGTGTTTTTGCTGCCTCCTCAAAACTGCCACCCACATACGCATAGAGCTTAAGCCATCCCAACTATAGGAAATAAAAACTCCCCCCTGTCTTTACACATGTAATTTTTGTGTCAAGAAAGAAATTGTGGATGCCTGGCATATTTTGGCTAAATGTGGGCGTCTTTAAAGTGCTAGGTGAAGAAATTTTTGATTGTAAAGTTCTTACCATGTCTTTATTTCTTAAAATTTTATCGGAACCATGTTATCAATTTAAAGTGTTTTGTTTTCTAAGAAAATCTGTTGATCTTTTGTTTTAGGGGGCATGATTCCTCAACTGTAAATTTGGCCTTATTACTGATGTTGTTTAGGAGCATCTGTCAGTGCTGTGTCTTTGTTACTAACTTATTTCTTTTTTATAGTTAAGCAATTTGCTTACTTTTTGTTTAATTTTTATTAGTTTTTTTGTATTTTATTGACGGATGCTCCCAAACTTTAAACTTTAATCAATTATTATATTTTAATTTTAAACCTTGCCTTAATTTAAATTATTATTTACATAATTTATTATTGTATAATTTTGTTTGTGATCTTATGTTCATTGTATCTAAGCATTTTGTTTTTTTGTGGTGGAGATTGTATTGCTCCCTGCATCAAGGAGTGTATCCAGTATGCATATTAAGTAAATAAATAAATATTAATTTTCCAAATATTAAGCTAAAATAATATTTACAAACTATTAAAAATAATGGTTGTCAAAGAAGAATACATAACATTTGTATTACTTCATGCACTACAATATTCATTGATACTTGTAATTTCACTTTATATAACATTAAATTGTAATCATTGTTTATGGCTATATAATTAAAAGATATAAATTTTTCTAATTAAATTATTAATCAGTTTACTAAATTAAAACTTTTTAAACAAAATTATTAACAATTATTTTGAATTATACTAAATTATTCATTAAAATATTGATGCTATAATTAATTAAAGATGAAAATAATTTAGAAATAAATATTGACTATTTTGTCATTTTTAGTAATACTGGTGTCCAAAAAATTTTAATTAATTAAATTTTAGCAAAATCTTGTAAATAAATCAATTGAAAAGTAATTTGAATATTATACCAAATATTATAGTTTTATTTTGATAAATACAGAGTGAGTCAAAATTATGTGAACAATCTTGGGTAAGTCAAAATTATGTGAACACTATTTGAGAGAAAGCATTTACTCAAAGTTTGTGTTATACAGAGTCTCAACCTGACCACCAGCACGATTAATGCACTCAAACCAATGTTCAACAGTACAATTTAGTGCCAGAACACCAGAGATTGGGGAGGCCATAACAACAGTCCATCGTGACCAATCAGAATAGAAAATAAAACAAAATTAAGATATTTCATTAATAATGTTTAATTAAAAATTAAGATTGTTCATGTAATTTTGACTCACCCTGTATATCTTTCCTGTTTTTCAAATTTGTTTCTTGACTTATACATTATACAAGTAATATGAAAAAACATAAAATGAAACTAAATTGTGAAAAGCGGGAACTCAGGGTCAACCCTGTTTCACATACAGGGTAGAAAGTAAATGAAGAAAAAAGATCTATATAATCTTTCCTGTCTGTCCTGACACCAGTTAAGATAAAATTTGTTGCATCCTAACTTGCGATTCTATTCATCTTCTGAATGGAAAAAGATATATTTAGAAACTTGACCGGAATTTTCGGAGGGTTTAATTTAAACACAAAATGACGTCAGATATGTGGATTATATAATTTACAAGGGCTGACAATGGAGTTAGGCATTAATCAACTAAATGACAAATAAGGAGTATAGCTATATATTAATCATATATTTATTTATACAAGATCTATAGTTGTTATATATACATTACATGGAGTATCATAAACTATACAGTATTAAGAATAAAATGGTTACGTTCAACAATTATA